CACATCGGCAAAAATATTAATTAGCTTGGCTATAAACTAATTATTGTACTTGCTCTTAGACCTCCTCCAATGGTATGAGCCAGTACCTAGCTCTAAACACTCTTAGAGACAACCCTTCCAATGATTTAGCTCTTAGCACATAGCTCATAATATAAATGACCCCCACATGCGCCATGTCACGTAATCTTGGAGTGTATGCATGAGACTATCTCTTGATCAGAGATAGCTCTTAAGCTCTCCTATTAAAAAATATAAGAAAATGTTCTTTGAGGTAGTTACAAATCTGTCTTATATGCTTGGCATCTACATTGCACTTATTGTTGCACAAAATCTCGGAGATAAGACCATGTAGGACATAGCTTTGAAATGAGATTCTTCAATTTGGTCCTTTTTTAGCAAACATGCATGGTTGGACTGTGTCTCATTTGTTTTGTCGTTTTAATCTGAGAAATTTGTGTAGGGCGAGAAGAATTCAACCACGTTGTCGAGGCTCCACACCTGCTAATGAGTGCTTCCTGGTTCCTGTGAATACCTGAATACAGCCATGTCTTGCCAACGCGTCGAGCGTGATTTTCTTTGAGCAGGGATTAGTATGAACGCTGTGACCCAGTAGCCAAAAATATACATGGAAGGAGTAGTAGCTTGTGGCATGTTAGTGAGCTCACACCTGCTGTCATTGGTATGTTTTTTTTTTTTGATACATTGCCACCTTGGTCTCGATGTCATGAAAACTATGCGGAGATAGATGTCGTGACCCACAAGACACAAAAGTGTTGTAGCTCAAACGACCAAGTGGCTTTTCATGGAAATTTTTACACACCTCATATTATGACCCTAGGATTTACTTTGTCTTTAGATCTAATGGTGCACAATCCATATAACGGTGGGACATTAAAAGTCGCGTAAGTCGTAGAGAAGGACAGGCGACGTCTCCTCCCACTAATTTTTTTCACCCATCCGCCACACGAAATTTTTATTTTTAATCATTTTAATCGCACTTGAATTTTTTTGCGAATATAACCCCTTTTAGTCGGCGCCCGATATTGGTAGCGACCAAAACGTCTTGATGTCGTGCCATATGCATTGGCATATTAACAACACCCCATAGATGAAGCGCGTTGGACCATGGAAAACCTCGTCCATCGGCGCGCCACTCACATTGGTAGCGACAGGGAGAAATGGCGTGACAAAGCTCAAATTTAAAAAATCATAACTTTGATGACGTCAATGGATGAGGATAATTTTTTATATCAAAATTATAGATCTCGATAAGATATACAACTTTCTAGTTTTGAGTTTTTTCATTTGAGGACATTAAGATGCTCAAAAAATATATAATTTCAGGCGCATAATAATCGCGTCTCTTCGTAAAGCATCGCATTAGAAAAATATTATCCTCTTTGTATGGGGTCAAATAAAGATACTTTTTATATCAAAGTTGTAGTGTCAATAAGATCTACAACTTTATAGTTTCAGTTTACATTTGGAGGCGTTAAGATGCTCGAGAAAATAATATAAAATTTCAGACTAGGTATCTTGCTAAATATTATATAATTTTTTTAGTATCTTCACATCTTAAATGGGAAAACTCAAAACTAAGATGTATGAATCTCGTGAGAATCTACAATTTTCGTATAAAAATCATCCCGTCAACGAACGTGTCGAAGAATTATGATTTTTCTGGGTTTAAGCCTTGTCACAACAATACTATTCACGTAAGCGAATTGGGCGCGACCGAGGAGTTTTCATGTCGAAAGCGTTATCTAACATGGCGGTATTGTATGCGTCGATGCTGCGTGGCGACGTAAGCGTTATTTTGTTCAGCGCGGCGCTATAAACGCCGATCAAAATATTTTAGGTGTGATTAAAATATTAAATAAAAAAATTAAAATATAAAAAATTCCTCCGCCACATACCTGCCCACGCCGCCACGCCTACCCACCCACCGGCAGTTTCCTTTTTTCCCCGCTCCGATCCGTGGTGCGCCGCCTGGTCCCTACCACCCGTGGTTCGCGTGGCGTGGCATCCTCGCCCGCGTCTGCCCTGTCGTCGTCTCCCGCGGAGGCCGTGCCTCCTGGGACGGGTGAGACGAGTTACGTGCTGCTTTACCTGACCCCGTCGTCTCTCACGCTTTCCCTGCATTCCATCTACGTGTTTATATGCTACCAAGTACCGACAGCTGGTCATTGCGAATTTGGTGTTGCGGTTTCCTGCTGTCCATCGCTTTTCGTTTTATTTGGTTGGGGCTTTGCCGGAACAATTCAATACCACTGCTATATTAAACATTAGTGCTCCATTGTTGTGAGACATAGATTCATATATCATATTGAAATATGCCTGTTTACAATTATGATGTTATATCACATAATGACATAATAATGGAGTAATTGTTGGATAAAGCATAAACCTCCTCCTAACGAGATGGAATACACCTTGTGATTTCAAACGAAGACAGAGTATCCTCGACTACGGCTCCTTCTGGAGGAGCCTGCTGCCAAAATCTTTCTTGATACATTTTTTCAATAAAAGCGGAGAGGCCGACTCTGTCTCCTCCGGAGAAGTCCCTCGGGAGGAACCGTGCTTCAAGACCTTTAATACATGTTTTTTTTAATAATTGCGTCTCAGTGTTTGTTTCTCCTGGGTTGAACATGAATCCTTACGCCTGTTCAAGACGTCAGCTGTTGGTACTTGGGTTTGCAATTGAGTGATTGGGGGAAGCTGATTGGCCAGAAGCATTGTTGGTCAACCAATGGGAAACAATGAACCTAGCACACCCTCCAAGGCTTCAAAGGCATCTCGCCAATCTCAATAGGGTTTCAATGAGAGTTTTATGGGCATTAAATATCTTTGACATATCATTGTATTGATGAAGAGAGATGATGAAAGTTTCATAGGAGCAAAGATAGTTTCAATGAGGATCAAACTCTTACTGCACTATTTAAAAAAATATGAGTACGGTCGATGGCCCGAGCCATGAAACACCCATTGAGACTAGCCTCGGAACAAGTACTTGAAACAGTGATAACACACTTTTACATTCTTAAATGGCATTGTTAGTGTTTAACTGCGCTCCTATTATTTTCCTAAAGAGATAATGGTCAATTTTTAAATTTTTCAAAAAGATAATGGTCATTTTTTCCCCTAGGGCAATAACCTTAGGGTACTTAAATTACTGGTTATAATGACTTTTTTTTTTTGAATACTCATATGGTTTTGCTGTGCCCAAATTTGGAAACGTGTCGAATAAGTATGACATGATATGAATTGATGCTTTTATGGACTAGTAATAAAGAATAGAAGTACACTCGGCCTTTCTCAGATTATGTGGCACAGTTACTATTTCAAATCCAATTGGGGCTTTTAAGGCTGACGCAATCTTGCTATTAAAGTTGAAGTACACATTTGTTTAGGCAGCATTTGAATGGCACTTTCTGCCTAATTCTGAGTTACAGTTACATAGGTATTTTCTTCCATTGACAGAAGGAAATATCCATCGAGGCCAAAACACAATTATCCCGTTTCTATTGTGACAAAACATGATGCTTTGTTTCTTATTACCTCCCTATTTTCAGGATCAACCTCCAGCTATCACATCCAGTGGAACAGCTTCAGTTTACCTTGATCTCGAGGCGATTCAGACCCCTTGTACCACTACTAGTAGCTCTACATTATTGAAAACCGAACGTTTGACTAACGAGCTACCGCTGGACATGTTGAATGCGCTTGCTTGGCAATGGTCAATGCAGCCACTGAATGAGATGATGTTGATTGACCATTCATTCATTCATTGATGTATGTATGCAGTGCGGCAATCTGCGAGCTGACACTGACAGACTGATGAAATGTGTGAATGTGTTCCCTCGCCTTCCGTTTTCATCCCTTACTATTGGACGTTCCGACACTCGTACCTTGAATCCGATGGTACTCGAGTATTATCATCTCAAAAGATTAAACCAAAGCACAACATGGCAAGTTTGTTTAGCAACTGTCAAAAGATTAAACCAAAGCACAACATGGCAAGTTTGTTTAGCAACTGTTATCATCTTCATTCACTCCACGTGTGAGATATATCCTCTTCTCCCTCCGTCTCTCTATCGCTGTGGGATCAATGCTGATCAAATTTTTTTTAGTTTGACTAAGTTTATAAAAATATTAGCAACAATTATATCTTCAATAAATTTATTATGAAAATAGATTCAACGATATTTCTAATAATATTAATTATATACTATAAATATTAATATTTTTATATATTTAGTCAAAGTGAAATATGTTTGATTTCTCGGGAAAGACGAACGCCAAATAGTAAGGGATAGAGGAAGTATGCGATAGAGGGAGAATTGGCATTTCTTTTGTCCATCAAGGTGCGCAAGGAGTCTAGCTCTTCTCCACACGCTAGCTTAAAGATTTTTGACATCTCTCTTCCCTACATGGCATCTGATCCTAGTAGAGTTTGCCATTATATAACAAGAAAAGCACATAATTACCTTTTCATTGAGCAACTGTCATATGACCGTGACTCCGTGAGAGGATATAATAATAATAATAAAATAAAAGGGCAAGGTAAGCTCGTACTAATACATTTTTTCCTTCTCTTTGTGACGAGGAAAAATCAAAAGGTCCACACCACACATTTTTTATCCCTACCAAAATAATTTACATATAATAACTACTTTCTCCATCCCAAACTATAAGACATTTGACTTTTTTGACACCAAGTTTGACACTCGTCTTATTCAAAAATCTATGCAAAACATCACTTCTTTTGTCGTGACTTGCTTTATTAATAAAAGTTTTTCAAAAATGACTTAAATTTGACTATGTTTGTAGAAATTTTTTGAATAAGAAGAGTGGTTAAATTTGGGGTCAAAAAAAGTCAAACGTCTTATAATTTGGGATGGAGGAAGTAATAATTATTTGATGGAGACAGATATTATATACCCTCCGTGCGGGAAAAAAACATAATTCTAGGCTACGAATCTGGACGCGTTATCACTGCAATGAATAATGAGGAATATTCTAGAAGATATGGCCAGGCTGCAAGACGGCGGTCGCTTGCTGCGTCGCTCCAGGTGGGCCAGGCCTATCTATCCATCCACCTATACCAATCAAAAAATCATCGCGGGCGCACCCCCAGGCACAGCAGCTCCAGCTTCTGGCTGGCTGGCTCACGAAAGGCCCATGCTCCAATCATCATCGCCGGCTCCCTTCGTGAGCCCCACGCCCGCTTCGGTTGGAGGCGGCGGCCCATACGGTCCGCCGAGGACCCGGTCCACGCCACGCCACGCCATCTCCTCCCTCCTCTGACCTCTCATCGTCGACGAAGGAAGGATTCCGCCTACGCCTCCGCCCCGGCCGCCTTCGCGCTCGCCCGCCGCTGCATTTTCCGGTGGCCTCGCCGCGTGCGGCCGCGAGACGTGGGAGCCTGCTGCGGTCCTCGCCCGCGTCGTCTCCCCGTGGGGGGCCGTGCCTGGGACCGGTGAGACGAGTACGTGCGCTGTGACCCCCGCTCTGCTGGATTATCTCACGCTTTCCCTGCATTCCATCTACGCGGTTATGCCACCAACGGCTGGTCATTGCGAATTTGGTGTTGCGGTTTGCTGCGCTCTATCGGAGCGTTTTTTTTTTTCGTTTTATTTGGACGGGGCTTTGGCGGACAATTTAATACTACTTCTACATTATTAGTGCTTGATTTTTGTTAGAATAGATTCGTATTGAAGCATGCCTGTTTATAATTATGATGTTATATCACATAATGGCATGATAATGGAGTAATTATATTTTGGATAAAGGCATAAAACCTCCTCCTAACGAGATGGAATACACCTTGAGATTTCAAACGAAGACGGAGTATCTTTTTATTGTTATAATACATGTTTTTTTTATAAAAAAAAAATCTTGCTTCTCAATGTTTGTTTCTCTTGGGTTCAACAGGAAGCCTTACGCCTGTTTGAAGACGTCAGGTACTGGTATTTGGGTGGCAATTGAATGATTGGGGAACCTGATTGGCCACAACCATTGTTGGTCAACCGATGGGAAGCAATGACCCTAGCACACCCTCCAAGGCTTCTAAGGCATCGGAACAAGTACTCGAAACAGTGATAACACATTCTTACATATTTAATAAATGGCATTGTCAGTGCTTAACTGTGCTCCTGTTATTTGCCTAAAGAGATAATGGTCATGTTTTTTCCTACTAGTGCAATAACCTTAGGGTACTTAATTGCTGGTTATAATGATGTTTTTGGGAATAGTGATTTTGCTGCTTGCCAAATTTGGAAACATGTCGAATAGGTTTGACATGATATGAATTGATGCTTTTATTATGGATTAGTAAGTAATAGACGTACACTCTGCCTTTCTCAGATTATGTGGGGCCTTTAAGGCTAATGCAATCTTGCTATTAAAGTTGAATTGCACAATGCATACATAGGTTTAGGCAGCATCTGAGTGTCACCTTCTGCCTAATTCTGTTTTAGTTACATAGGTTAGTTCCTTCCATTGACAGAAGGAAATATCCAACTAGGCCAAAACACAATTCTCTCATTTCGATTGTGAAAAAACATGATGCTTTTGTTTCTTACCTCCTATTTCCAGGATCAACCTCCAGCTACCACATCCAGTGGAACAGCTTCAGTTTACCCTGAATGGCCCAGCTTTCAGGTTATTCCATATAAAACATGCAGTTGCTAATTAAGAAAGAAACTTCTTCCATTTACCTTCTATTTTTATCAAGCAATTCTCCTTTCCTTTATGTCTTTATCTCTTACTTGTTAAAGTTCTTGGTAGGCCTACTCAGCAATTCCACCACATGGGTTCTTCCCCCCTACCGTTGCTGCAAATCCACAGGCCCATCCGTACATGTGGGGAGCTCAGGTGCCCCCTATATCTGAAACTTTGCCCCAGGCCCCCCTCTGTTCTCTGTCAATCTCTACTACTGTTAATGTCAATCTGTATTTATATGTGTTATATATTGCAAGAGCATGTGATTTTCATATGTAAATCAAAACCGATGCCCCTTAATTGCAGCCCATGGTGCCACCTTACGGGACGCCACCACCACCTTATGTGATGTATCCACCTGGAACAGTATATGCCCATCCCTCTACACCTCCTGTATGCACTTTTATGCCTAACAAATTTACCCTACATGCCAACTAATGTACATGAACCCTTTTATCCTGTTTGGCTGACATATTTTTGTACTATGAATAAATTATTGGCAGACTATGCATCCATTTAGTCATTATCCTATGCCAACAAATGGACATGCTGAAACTTCTGTAAGTAATCAACTGTGTCTATTTCCTTTTGGTCATCACCGTTTCATGTAATCCTGAAATATATCTTTCAGGGAGCTGCGCCAAGTGCTCCAGAAATGAATGGTGAGTCTTTTCCAAGGTCAACAGTTCATTATCAAAGTCAATCAGTGTATCCAAGTAAAATTAGATTTCTAGTAATAATTTCAGGGAAAAGTGAGCCTGGCAGAACATCTGCTCCATCAGCCAATGGGATTACTTCCCACAGGTTTTTATTTGTTATTGTAAATTACAAATCTCTAGAGTTCATCCACAACCTAATCACCTTGTATTTTTATACCTGCAGTGAGAGTGGAAGTGAGAGTGAGAGTGAAGGAAGTGATGCCAATTCTCAAAATGTGAGATTGATCTGTGATCCTCAAATCTCTTTCTTGTCATAACACTTCTTTTGGACTCCTTGATAATTTTGCTGTTGCAGGATTCACACTCAAAAGGACAATGATGGAAAGGAAGATGGTAGGTATCTGAGGACCTGTTTTTTCTCTCCAAATGATAAAGACCAATAGAATTGTATATCTGTTTTCATAAGATGATGGGTATATCCTGTCAATATGCAGGCAACTCTCAGAATGGCATATCTTATTCAGCATCACAAGGAATGTTAAACCAAACCATGGCGATGCTTCCAGTACAACCGGGTGCAATGGTTGGAGGAGTTCCTAGCTCCACAGCTAACTTGAATATTGGAATGGACTACTGGGCAGCTCCAGGTTCTGCAGCTGTCCTGCAACACATGGCAAAGCACCAGCTGGTTCAGCACGAGGAGACCAATGGGTACAGTCCTTTAGCATGTGTTTGCTTAAACTTTACAATTATATGTACTAAAATATTTGATCTTTGAGGATTGGCATGTCCTGTTTGTGTTTCTAGAGTATTGATTGCTCCGTAGAACCGAATACTGGTTTTGGTTTTTATGTAGACTATGCCGATAGGGTTGTTCTAGATAATAAGTTTCTATAATGAGGAAGCAAGGCTGGAGCCAAAGCACTGGACGTCCTGTGGTGCAAGCAGTTGGATGGAGCTCATAATTTCAGTTAGAACTTAGTCTTACCTCTCCTTGCGTAGTTGTTTCCTTTCCATATAGTCCATTGAGTGAGTGAGTTAGGTCTGGCAAGCACTGCAGCCGCTAGCGTTGTAAACTCTGTTTTATTTATTTCCAACCTAATATAAACATAGACAGCTCGCCCATTTTATTCTTGAAAAATATAATGAGTCCACTGGAGCGAAACTATTTGATGTCCTATTGTTTCCATTTTCCATGTTCATCTAAAATTTCTTGTACTTGTTTCAAACACCCCTTGGGACATCCCTTGGTGTATGCTTTTTCATGACGATGTAGTGCTAGTTGATGAAAGCCGGACGTATGAATCGAAGCCGGAGTTATGGCGGGAGACTTTGGAGTCCAAAGGTTTTAGACTCATGAGAACTAAAGCGAGTATATGAGATGTGACTTCGGCACTACTACTCGGGAGGAGGAAGATATTAGTTTGGAAGGTCAAGTAGTGCCTAGGAAGGATACCTTTCGATATTTAGGATCAATGCTATAGAGATACGGGGATATTGATGAAGATGTTAGCCATAGAATCAAAGCAGGGTGGATGAAGTGGCACCAAGCATCTGGTGTCCTATGTGACAAAAAGGGTACCATGAAGCTAAAAGACAAGTTTTATAGGATGGCGATTAGACCTGCTATGTTGTATGGTGCGAGAATGTTGGCTTACGAAAAGGCGACATGTTCAGCAGATAAGTGTCATGTAAAATCGTATGTTGCGTTGGAATTGCGGTCGTACAAGAAGGATCGAGTTCGGAACGATGATATACGTGATAGATTAGGTAGCATCAATTGAAGAAAAGCTTGTCCAACACCGGTTGAGATGGTTTGGACATGTCCAACGGAGACCTCCAAAGGCACCTTAAAAGCGTAATGGAATTCTAAGCTAGGATAGTAACGTGAAGAAAGACAGAGGAAGACCGAAGTTGACTTAGGTAGAGGCAATAAAAGGAGACTTGAAAGGATAGAATATACCCAAAGACTTAGCCTTAGATAGGAGTGCTTAGAAAACAGCTATTCACGTGCACAGAACCTTGATTGCTTACTTGCTGGGTTTTAACTCTAGCCTACCCCAACTTGTTTGGGACTTAAAGGCTTTGTTGTTGTTGTTGTTGTTGTTTCAAACACCATCGTTTAAACTTAAAAATAAGATAAATTATAGCATCGCCATCTTCTGAAGTGCTCTGAGAAGTTTTAGTCTATCTTACGGTGCTTTGAGTGTGGTAAATATAAGATACTAACAAGGATACCAAGGCTTCAATGCTGCTGTATTTATATTAGTGCTTTTGTGTGCATTTCAATATAGGAAAATCTATTCACCACAAGCTGTGTTTGTATCATGGCAATATTTAGGATGAAAGGGAACTCAAGAAGCAAAAAGCGAAAGCAGTCTAATAGAGAATCAGCACGCAGATCCCGGCTGCGCAAGCAGGTGTTGTGCAACGCTCATGCTGACATCCTGCTACCTGGATTTCATCTTCTCAGTTCCAAGAGGATTTTGTTCAATGCTTTCGTGATCTTATTTGGTTATTTCAGGCTGAGTGCGAGGAGCTTGGGCAACGTGCTGAAGCTTTGAGGTCGGAGAACTCTCTCTCAGGGCCGAGCTTGAGCGGATCAGAAAGGAGTATGAACAGCTACTTTCACAGAATGCTTCCCTCAAGGTATCATTCGTTTGCTATCTCTATATTGTCATTTGATATTATCAGTCATGGTAGCTCAGATTTTCAGTTATGCTAGATCACCTCCTCAGTTATGCAGAAACTGGCAATATCGTTGGTACATCTTGCGATGCCTTGAATTATTCTACATATTGCTAGGGTGATTGTGACTTTTTTCAGATGTTTTTTTTTCTGCTATAGTTGTTGGCCTCAGTTCAGTGTTGGTATGGTATTTGCAGGAAAAGCTGGGGCCACCAGTGATTCGATTCCTGATATGAATGAAAAGAACGACGGCGACGGCAGCTACAAGAAGCAACCTGATTCCGATGCCCAGTCTTGACCCGTTTAGCTCAGGATTCTTGGAATGCACATTGCTATTTATTTTCTTGAGCATTGTCGAACACAACATAGGAAAGAGAGAATTGTTTATGTAACTCTACCTCCTTGACTGGCTAATGTCTCTGACGGCATGTATATAATATAATATATGCCCTCACTGCTGTACTAGTAATTTAGGAATTACAGACAAAAAGGAAAAACTCACTTGATGTTGTTCGAGATGGACTACAGCTTGATTTGTAGAAACCAAAACAAGAAAGCAGCTCTGTGCGCAAGTGCAAGGTAGTACACCAATTGCCTGCATCCTCCGTGGGCAATTGGGCATCCATGTCCATAGGTTCGGTCGGCCCATAAAGAATTTGCCCATCCAGTATTCTCAATTGCTTACCCATCATCCAGACCAAGAGAAAAGCTGCCATAAGATAATGTCAAAAAGGACGATGCTGACATAAACATGTTTCGTTACATGTTTCGGGAGCAGGCCCTTCGATCGCCCAAATGAGAATAGTTGTGCCCCAAGGCCCAATCTGTCAACTTGTGGGCCAGCTCGGTGAGATCATTTGCCATGCATACCGCATACATGCCTGGCAAAGTTGGTTTTGGAATAGTAGTTAGCGTGTGATGCATGCCAACCGTGCTCAACCAATGAGGATTGGTATGTATTTATGTTACATCAAGTGACAATTTTACAGTAAGAAATAGTACAAGATTATAATCATAATTGCAACTAATGATCAGCTACTAAACATGTTACAATCACCAATCAGCATTATCTAGCCATTGCCGAGTACCACAGCTTCCATGGTTAACATCCCCCGGAATTTTAACCGGTGGCCACAAGGTTGAGATTGATGTGTGATTGTTGTAACATCTGATGCTTGGTAGCAGGTTTGGTGAAAATGTCGGCAACTTGATCAACGGAAGAGATGAGCCGAACCTCAAGAGCACCAAGAACAACCTTCTCATGGACAAAGTGAAAATCCACTTTAATATATTTGGTGTGATCATGAAACATTGGATTAAAACTCAGATATGTTAGTATGGACAAAGTGAAACAGTCTCTGCACCAGCACCAGCTACCATACTACACTCTCCCAAAATGGTTAGGAAAACAATCTCTCTCCCAAAATGGTTAGGAAAACAGTCCGTAGGATTAGTATGAAGAAAAATGGTTTATAATTTCCAAATATATCGCATAACAAATGGCAGGGTAAGATATAGCATATTTTTATATATTTTATAAATATGGTCTTTTTAAATTTAAATATTTATCTTCACAATTGGTAGGGGCCGCGCGAACGCGTACCCCCTCTTCCACAAATTACGACGTCCACTCAAATTACGACGTCCACTCTCCTACTTGAGGAGATGGTAGGCAAGCGTTCTTCCCAAGTGCAATGGAAGCCGCTAACCTAGGCCATGACCCTTCATGATCAGCCATAGACCCCATCCAGGTAAGTATGGATCAAGATTGCACTTGTGGCTTGTTTTGTAGCTCCTCCTAGGCTCAAGCATGGTTAGGGTACCGATTTGGTACTAAACCGATGGCTGTTAATCTGTGTGATCCTGCAGCATGTTGTTAAGGTCTGCTGCTGTTAATTAGCCCGTTGGGCTCGGGAGCAGGCCCTTGGCCTTCGGTTGTCCGCAAACCTGGCCCAAGTAAGAATACTGTAACCTCAAGGCCCAAGTCGTCAAGGGTTTCTCCTCCACCCTAATTTTTACTATTTAACCCTTTTTTGAATAAAATTTACATTTGGCCCCTGAGAGACTTAAACTCATCTTTGGACCCTAGGGGTCGACGTAAACTCATCATTTTGGATACAGGGGTCGACGCCATGAGTCCCAGCGCCGAGTAACACGTCCGGCGCACATATGGCGCCGCAATTCTCGGGTCCAAAGATGAGTTTAAGTCTTCCAGGGCCAAATATAAATTTTCTTCGAAAAAAGGGTTAAATAGTAAAAAATACGGCTCCTCCACTATCCAAGAGGCGGGAGAGTCCACGCCATCGTTGTTGGGACACAGTGGCAGTGACATCGACGGACAGGAGAAGGTTCTCTTCTTCCTTTGGTGGATGCACTGTCACATGCATGGTAAACGCAGAAGCTAGCAGCTAGCAGCTCTATGCCTCTGTCGTCAACCCTGCCGCTCATCTTCCTGTTTCCTCGCCCTCTTCTTAAGCTTGATTTTTTTTTTTTTGAAAAGTTTCTTAAGCTCAAAATTACTCATGTTTCCTCGCTAATTAATCTAGTTACTCCAACGTGTGATTCACCATGCTTGCTCAATGTTGGTTGGTGAAAGCGAGGTGCCGTGCACAAGCTGGTCCGTACAAACTAAGAAGAACGACGCTTGGATACTTTTAGTATTATTACCATTATCATAATAATAGAAGCTATATGAATTCATCCTGCATCTGTATTGCCTAGGAGCTATGAAGTTCTGGCCAATGTTTACTGCTTTCCTTTTCTTTTTCACTTTGTTGTTTTCAGACTTGGAAGGAAACTATGTAGATAGTTTGACAAGGTAAGAGAAGGTAACTGGGGAGCATTGCTTGTTAGATAGTTTTCAATTTTGTTATCAGATTTAGAAGGCACCTCCAAGGAGAGAATGCAGATAGATTATAATTATAAATAAAAGATTATTAGTTATCAGATAGTTTTAAGATTAAAAACACATCCGAGGAGCAGAACAATACTGAATCAATAATTGGGCGGGTCGAATGAAGTCTATCAGCCTTGCACTAAAACTAATTAAGAGAATTTTAAGAGGGATGCACTAAAACTAGAGAAAATTGGCGTAAGTATTGCTAAAACTGTGGGCACACAGATTCTGGACATCCATTAGCAAGGGTGAAAAATACACACGGCAATTCCTGCACCGATGATCAATCTAATCAGTGAACAGTGTGTGAACAAGCAATATGCCGGAATCAAGTCTTCGCTGGAGACTAACACAAGCAGGCACTACAAAATTCAAACCGTTCCCCGAAATGTGCTATCTCCAAGACTAGTAGACTATGAACTTCTAAAGCAGATCGAGCTTGCAACTACATTCTCTTCGAGACTTCCACAGCAGGAGAAATCTAGGTGATGTATCTTTCTTGTTGCTCCTGGAGCAGGCGAGCCGAGGATTTGGCATCCAAATAGAGCCCACTAACTTCCTCGAGATCAGCCTGATAGAGATCATATATTGATATATAAGCTCAGAGATTGTAACCTTGCGAGAACAAGAATCAGCTAGCAATGAAAGCTCGGTAGATATACCTTGCAGATCTTTTCTCTTCCATTAGTCTTTGCGACCACGCTGGCAGGTGATAGCAACTGAATAGCATGTCTGCAAAGAGAATAAGATCTGTTACCATCATTTCTCACTAGTTATGGAGGGAGGGAAGGAAGGAGAAATCGCTTGCAATATCAAACACTACAGTGAGATCAACTCTAAGAGTGATGAACAGGTTATGAGATGCATGCCTAACTTCTAAGGAGGAACTAATCCATAGAAAATACCAAAGAACAATACAAAAATCTAACCTCAACGATGTCTGCTGTCCAATCTCGCCTAAATAAGCAAGACTTTCTTCATCGATATCAATCTCTTCCACTTGTGCTCGGATAGCCAATATCTGTGAAAGGCAACAAACAAAGGATGATGCAAATTCTGGACAGGAAAAAACTGATCAAAATGATGCCCAAAATAAGTAAGAACCTGTATCATCTCAGTAGGACCATATGTTTCTGTCCGAATAATCACCAACCTATCTAGAAGATCCACTGGCATACCATGTGGACTTGTCATATCAGTTCCTCTAGATAAAACCAAAACAAGATTCATTAAGCAAATAATTAATTAATTAAGGTGCAACTTAATAGACAAGTACAGATTTATGCTGGGTATTGAAGTTAGCTGCAGACTTGCAGAGTACTCTGGCAAATAAACTGCTTACCTTACATTACATATTCCCCTATTCGTAGCAAGTATCACAATTGGTGATAATGGGCTCTCCAGTGCACGGTTAAGATAAGAAAAGCATTCAATATCCAACATGTGGACCTGAAAAATGATATTTTATTAATTGATTTTAAATAGCCAGAAGACAGTCCGACACAATCAAGTCCAACAATTGTGGCGCTGCACCATGAGGCGGAAAAAATATGTTTAGCAATCAACAAAACCAATGCACTTTCTACTTATTTTCTTTTTATTAGGACATGACAAGTGGATTTTTCAATCACAAGTGCAATAAAATAATACCTCATCAATGAACAAAACACCAGGTACAAGCTCTGCAATTCCTTCGTCAATATATCTGTTTACCACCTGTCACCATATAAAATTAAAAATATCAGGTGAAAATTCTTATATGGATATCCAAATTTGATACTGCCTAGAAAACTAAAAAATTGTTAGTCGAATAAAAGAAGAAAACCTTATTAATCTCTTGGCGTAGCTTTTCGGTGATTTCAGTCTTTCGTGGCTTCATCATCTGGCCCATAAGGGACAAAATATCTTGGCCGCCTTGTGGCTGAGCATTTGCTGCATCAAGGTCATGAAGTGTGACATCCTGCATACAATGGTGAGAAGGTTATTTCCTCTTCAGAACAAGAGCATAGAATACAGGAAACCTCCATGTTGAGATGCAAATACGAGCATTAATTCTTATTAAAAATTGCATTAGTAAAATATCATCCTTGTGATAATAAATGATCAGTCGATCAGGTAATCTACCAGCAAGCTTTCAACTGTTTATTTACTAACATTACCAAAAGCAGCAATGATAGAACCAAGTTAATGAACTCTAAGAGATTCTTGTTGAAAGGACTTGGGCTGATGGCCAATGGTGATGCGCATAACCGTTGTTTGTGACCTTTATTCATGTATATATATTCTACCAAGGAAGCAACAGTCACTAGCATTGCACTAAGACTCTTCAATATTTGTAGTTCTGGAAATCTGGTGAGCCCATCTTATACTACCTCCCAATTAGCTGATTTGTAAACCACACAGCAGTTTCCATCATAGAAAAAAAAAGATGAACAAGGTGGCCAGCAATTTTGCAGGGAAGGTCTATAAACTTTTTGTAGCTAAAATTGATTGTAGCAAGCAGCTATCGTCAACATATCAACTTGCAATACTGTACTGCTATAGCTTCACCAACATCTTGTGAAGGAAATTAGTCAGCAATTTATGATAGAATTATTGGTCAAAGTTACATCTTGAGGAGTATACTGTTTCAATAGTGAAAAGATTTGTTTCAATCATGATAACATTCACTAAAGAAGGTACCATGTGAAAAAGACCGCTGCAGAAAATAATGAAATGTTAAGGTTAAGATAGCATCAGAATGATACCTGCACTATTTCCTTTTTCTTATGGACTTCACCTTTGGGGATAGGAACATACTCTTCAGCTTCAAGATCGTATTCTGTAGCAAAAGAATCACATCTACCAACTCTTTTCACTGCTCCACTATTTGCTTCGATGTATATAACATCACCTACTGCCACCTATATCCATATGCAGACAATAAGTAACCTAAAGCAACAGATGCAGATAGCAGAATAGATACAGTAACCCAGAAAGTATAGTGCATGATTTCTCAATGTTTAAGGAGCCACTCAGCACCAGGACTAGTCATAAGACAACAGGACATCTGCCGGTGAATTCACATAAATTTTTTCCAATGAGTAAATTATCAATAGGCAGAGCAGATTTAAAACGTTCATCAAGACGTTATTCTGAGTAAGAAACAATTAGACCGCCCATTGTTATTGAAGAGTAAAAATCTAATCCAAAAGTCTACCACCAGCAGGATAGGTAAGGAAGCAGGCAGTTACCTTTTCCTTGATCAAAGCATCATAAATTGAAGGATCTAACTTCAGTTGCTTAGTCCCTTTAACAGTCTTTAGGCCAATGATTACATGGCTAATGCTTTTTGCATATCCACCGGTTGTACTCTCGGCCTCTTCTGGGGAAAGTTCAGTAACCTAGGAACAGAGCAACATTGGTAAATCTATTAAAGCAGCAAGAAGTGAACATCAGTTATCAAAGCGATAATGAAAACTGTTGATAAATAAAGGAGACCCACTAATTTATTATAGCCTAGTATTTGTTTAACTTGGACATGGGCATATATGCATTGCTTACCTCTCCTTCGTAAACCTCTTTGTTTTCCTTCATACGCAAACCTATAGCTCTACGGAAATTTTCCATCAGCACCTCAGTTTTCTTGACCTCTGTGGAGTACACTTCTGATCCTACCATAGGACAGAAAGGGACCTGCATTGTAGTGACAGGGGAAGGAAAATTAGAAGATTAGAATATAAGTGCTACAGTGAACTCAGCAAACATAACAACTTAGCAACATCAATAACATTTTACCGGACAAACTGTCCCTCTAAACCACCAATTCAGCTAGCTGAACAGAAAAGATAAACGACACAGCTAAAATGACGTTAAGTATGCTAAACTACCTCGAGATCGCTATGAACTAGCTAAAAAATTCTTTTTCTTTTTGTGCCCATCCAGAGCTTCTTGTTCACCAAACAGCGTAATATATAATAAACAGTTCAAACAGAGAATTAACTGAGGACAGCCCACAGTAATCAGAACCTATCCTCACCTCCACATACCACAACAATGGTTGAATAGAAGAATTGAGTAGATAAAAATCTGGTCCTCTTTCTTCCTTACAAATGTGCAGACCACAATCCACATATATTGTTACAATGGCAGGATATTGGTATGGGACATTATGACCCACAACAAAGCCAAAGGGGAAGTAATAAACCCTATCTTTACCACCACAATGAACAGCTGATAAGTGTGAAACAAAGGAGCAACTGGACGCACGGACCTTGCTGCCGAGCTCCTGCGCTATGCCAAGCGCTAGCGCCGTCTTGCCAGTGGCGGGCGGGCCCGCAAGGAGCAGCGCGCGGCCGGCCATCTTCTTCTGGCGAATCATGTCGACCGACAGCCCGGCCGCCTCGCGCGCCGCCGCCTGGCCCACGAACCCTGCCGCCAACGCAATCGCCATCCCATTGGCCTGCTCCCGTAAGGGGAAAAAAACAGTGAGGAACTACTACGCAAACACACAGAAGAGCTAAAACCCTAGAAAACCAGGGGGAGGAAGGAGGAGCGGAGGAGCGGGGGCAGCTACGTCGAGGCCGAGGCCCTTGATGTGGGTGTGGGTGGCGATGCGCTGCTTCTTCGAAGTCGACTGCACTTCCTCAATCCTCATCGCCGCTACCTCTCCCGCCGCCGCCGCCGGTTATGCGCTCTGTGTTTGTCTAGAGCTGCTCTCTCCCGCCGCAACAAATTGGGATAGAGCGGAAGCGGGGACGGGGACGCCGCTGCGACTGGTCTCTTGTGGAAGATGTGCTGCCGCCTCGAGTGGGAGCAGAGGGGTGTCTGGCTGGGCCGCCTTGGGCTGTTATAAGGCCGTGGGAGAGCTATGGTTGGGCCTCTCCGCATATTTTTTAGTTTGCTCGGTTATTTCGGTTATCCGACAACTAAAACCGAGATTATTTTCTCATATTAATAAAGCCAACCATTTATATATATAAAACCCGATATTATTTCTGATATTATTTTAAATATTTAAATTCGAAATTATAACAAAAGAAATTCTGTTTCGATCAGTTCTCTTCGTCTCGGTTACCGATTTATTTATGATGACAAAAAAACTGATTATTATTTTCTCAGTTTAAATCGAATTTTGTTAAAAGCTTTCGTGATCTTACTCGGTTATTCCAGGCTTAGTGCGAGGAGCTTGGGCAACTTTGAATCTATAAGGTCACAAGGCTCCTCCCCAAATGCCGAGCTTGAGTGGATTAGAAAGGAGTATGAACAGCTACTTCCACATAATACTTCCTTCAAGATATAATTCATTCGCTATCTTTACATTGCTTTATATCATATTATCGGTCACTGTAGCTCAGATTTTAGTTATGCCAGCAGCCTAGCCCACCTTTTCACTTATGCACCAGCATGTTCATGAAGCAAGGACACACCACTTGCCTGCACCCTCGATGGAAATTTCATTATAAAAGCTGCAATGGCCGATGCCACAGCCACAAGATGATGTCCAAAGTCAATTATGATGTACATTTCCATTGCAATGACGTAGTACAACTACATTCTCTCCCCAAAATGGCGAGGAAGCAGTCGCCTCTGTACACCACCAGCAAAAGCTACCGACTCGCCCCAGCCCAGTCTAACTCCTAAGTAAACCCTAGGGTTAGTAAGAAAAGAAAAAGGAACTAAACTTTGTCGAGCAGCTGCCCGTATGCTTCCCATGGTGCTATCCCAGCAACCTCAGGCTGCTCCTGGCCTCCTGGGTACCTCAGCTCTTGTTAGAAGCACTCAGATTGGAACCCTCAACTATCAAGGGTTTCTCCTCCAGGAAAGCATACACTCGCGATCTGAATTTCTGTGCTAGTTCAGCGAGATCATTTGCCATCCGGGTCTGGGGCAACCGGTTTGCAACGTCGATCGTCAAGATTGCGCATATCTTGCTTCTTGTCAGCACTTCCAAAGTTGGTTTTGAATAGTTAGTGTGTGATGCCAACCGGTTTAGGAGGATAAGAGCTTCCCTCATCACCAAACACCTGCAGAAATGATTTTCATATTAATGCTAAAACAAATCGCAGACAAGTTCTTCATAGACAACTAAGACCAATTTGGAGTTGCAGCTTAAGATAGTTGCCAACAGAAGAGGAAGAATTCATGAGCTCAGGCATATCTAGAATTTACTCGGTGATATCACCACATTCATGCTGTGATACAACAAGCTAGGAACGCACAAGACTGGGGTAGCAAAGTTTGATGTACCTTTCTTTTAGTAACTCTTGTGTTTCATATTGCATCTGTGATGCAAGGACTTCCATTATCATCTCCAAAAAACTGGCACCACGGGCACTCACTGGGCCTAAAAGCACATCATATCCCAATTTGCCACTAGAAGCTATATAGGCTAGAAGAATGATAACAAGCCGGCAAAGCTCAATCCCCTGAAAAATACAGTTGTTCAGCTAGCTAAAGTGAAATAAACAAGTTATGCTGAATCTAAAAAAAGTCTCTAGGTGAAAAAAGTTTTCAGGGAATATCATGCAACGCCTTTTGTTTATCGGCGATAGGTGAAAAACCATTGCGATGTTCAAACCATGTGGACAGAAAAATAGAATCTGGCTAAATGTAAATGCAGATTTCCATCCGGAATGAATAACTAAAAGAGCTAAGTAGCTTACCAGAGAACAAGTTGCCTCAGAAGTCAAACAATCAGATAAATCCGCAAGAACTGAGCTTATGACTTCTTGTGATTTATTGTTTTCACAAGCTTCCGATTCCATCTGTTCGGAGCCATCTTTGCCTCCACTACACAGCAACTTCAACATCACTGGGCCTAACAGAACAGGAATTAGGTTGCAATTGAGAGGATTAAAGGCAGGGAAAGTTACTACTCCCTCCGTTCCATCTAGATATAACAATATGTCTAGATATATAGCAAAATCGATGTAACAAAAAAGTCAACGCGACTTATAATTTAGACGGAGGGGGTACATAAGTGTAACAGATTTAATATATCTTTGAAACTGAAAACAAAATTATTTTAACGAGGAACCTACATTAAGCCGATCCCTCAACAGCTGAACTCAATTCTATATAAGCATATCAAAGGAAAGGTGTGGGACAAATGTCTTAGGTAAAAACAGTTAACACTACACCAACAAACAAATCATGTTTTTCAATCTAGCCATTAAAAACAGAGGCTCCACTACCGATTTCCCTTATGCTTATGAGGGATGAGAAGTCCCCAAGAACCAGGCAAAAGCATCAGTAAAAAGAAGAGTACCAGGTAGCTAGTCCACAGAATGCACACATTGCAGTGTTCACCTGGCAAGAACAGTTCTTGCATGCTAGCATCTTCAGTTCTAAAGCTAAAGGGCGTACCCAGTGCAGAGAGCACCCGCTCTGTGCGGGGTCTGGGGAAGGGTGTTAGTGGCAAGCCTTACCCTCACCTGTGCAATGCGAGGAGACCGCGACTCGAACCCGGGACCTTCCGGTCACAGGCGGTAAGACTCTACCGCTTGCACCAGGCCCGCCCTTCATCTTCAGTTCTAAAGCTAATGTGAAGAAATCAAACATACAAGCACAAGTACTTACAATTCAGAAGCAAGAAAAGTAGACGCACAGAATGCTTCTTAACAAGCAATCCATTTTCTTTCTGCAATAGCAGATGCAATCTAAATCATTACAGAAGTAAATCCGAATCTGAAAGTAGCAGCATTATATCATTAACATCCAACATCATAAGCAACTAAACAAATGAAACATCATTCAGATGCTTGCTTACTTATGTATGTTCCTCTTTGGGATCTGTCGACCTTACAATGAGAATCATTATGGATAATGCATCAGTACGAATTGTCTCTTCTGAGTACTTGACCCCAATTTGAAGCATTGCAGTGAAAAGTGAACTCCATAAAGTAAAAGGAAGAAACATATTATGCTGTCTCAATGAATCTTCTGTATCCAGTGGACTCAGCAACGTGGAACAGTCTTTGTGGTTGTTCTCCATGTGTATGTTAACATATGGTTCAACAGAAACGTTGTTCCTGAGGGTACACTGAGAAAAATCAAATTAAAGTTCATAAGCATGGGAACCTACAATAGTAAACAAGAAAAAAAGGAGAACATTATGCAAGCCACCCTTGAGTAGAAACATTTCCAGCATAAAAAAGAATCTAACCAGTTTATTTCATTTAGAAACCATGTCACCATTTCACTCTAAGAAAATTTAAAAACTGAAGCAGAAAGGAACACATGGTTTACAGATCAAGAAAGATTAGCAGCCCAAAACATATCGAGTGAAGCACTACTGATCACTTTACAGCTTAGATTTTAGGAAATATTCCAGGTCGAATTTTGAATTAGAGAAAAAACATGACTGTTAATTTAGGAGAACTAGAAACCTTGATTCATTTTCTCTATCTGATATATTATCAGTTAATTACTGTTTGAGTTCAGTGCTAAACCTAAGCACCATATTTACTTCAACTGTGAAATGCAGTTGCTGTCTACTAGTAAAAATGTATTCCATGCACGAGTAAAGCATACCTTCCACTAGACATCGCTCCATGATGCAGTAAGTGCTGCAAAACTCTGAGCAATACCCTCAAAGTTCTACCAACTATAGCAGCCTGAAATACAGAGGTAAAAATGAATAGCATGTCAAACAAAGCCAAAATACAGCGTTACTCAGTCCAACATCACAATCCACAAGAAAAGTGGAAAGACTGACATGCATATATAGCAAAACCATTACAACAATGTAGCAAATAAAATTAAGTGTATTCATTAATAATTATTGTTTCAACTCTCTAGCAATAGTATATATCTGATGGGGTGACGCTATGAGAACTCAAAAAAAAAGCCATAAAGTGATGAGTGAATGTACTATTGATGTTTCAACAGGGACGGTTGAACCAGTTTTGCTAGCATTTTCCCAAGTCTGCATCAATTAACTGCTCACTCTTTTATCATTCGCAAAGAAATCGACCTAAAAGGTACAGCATTGCTTCATGCTCACTACAGATAGTGTTTTAAAATAGTTTTTCTGCAGGTTCCTTCATTCCTTGTTAGTTAAACTACTTGATCTATGATGCCTAAAGTCACCACTTTTCACAATAAGGTGCATGATTAAAATGGAACTTAGTCAAAAGTAAATCGCTGTCCATAAGTATTAACATTAGAAACCATCATTTTCCTTCCCCCACAGTTACAAAGATTAACATGAAAACCTCAATACCACATCAAATAACTCCTACTGATTTAAGAGTAAATTTCACAAAACTACAATTGTTTTGTCACTGAGTAGCTATTAGAAAGTTGTAATTCTATAGTATCAAGTGCTAAAATAGTTTATTGTTGTGATACACGTCAAAATAGTTGCAGATCTATGGGTATTAGATCACAATAGCTGTAGTTCTGTGAAGGTTACTCAAAGTTTAATGCTAATTAAAAAATAAACGTGAACAGATCATTTCTGTATGTATCAGTATTAAAATAATTAGTACAAGATCATACTCTTGTGCTGCTACACCTATACTCCATAGTCCATACCAATAAGGAAGCACACAAACATATCCATCAAGTGCATCTAAGCAATAATAGAAATGGCAAAAAAACAAATCGATTCTACAAACGAAAGGAAAAGCTCAGAGTCTCGGATCTTACAGTATCAAAAGCACAGAGATTTAGCAATGCTTCAAGGAAAGTTTGTATTGATATCTTCCCACTATTCATCTGCCAAAAATGAACAATTAAATTGATCATTTTAATCAACTTAAATGGCATGATCAAAAGGAAAAATGGAAGGAAATTTTGAATTTTTTAAAGATCCTGGCTACTTCAAATGCAGAAAATATATGTGGCATTTCATATGCAGATACTGAATTGAAATGTTCAGGCAATTTGGGACATCTTGTGGCTAAATACAAGTCTTATATCAGTCCCGGTATAAAAAGAGGAGTGGAAAGATCAAGAGTAAACTGGAACAGTTGTCTGACATTAAGGCTCAAGTTCAGTCAGAAAATTCGTATGCCCACCATTGAAATGCATGTCAAGGTGAACTGCAACAGGGAAATACAAAAGGCACTTTTTACATGGTACTCACCTTGATGAACATGTCATACACTTGGGAAATAGCTTCATTCATGGAGGAGCTTGCTTCAGAAGAGGGTTCACAGTTGTCTGACAATCTAGTACATTGGAGAAGTGACAAAATTTCTTCTGAACAAGAAACAATAATATTTGATATCAAATTCCTTCTTGATAAACTGTTAGGTGACATGCCCCACATTGCACGTAGGTTACTAGAGATACGCTCAACCAATACTTTATTGCACTCAAGATGTTCATTGTCAGATGTTTTATCTGTCTGTACTCCTATTGCCTTAATTTCCTTGCATGTAATGCTCCTTGGTTCAAAATGGGTATTCTCCTACCAACATAACAGAAAATATAATTTACACAAGTTTTTGGTACTATATATATGACATAAAAGGATGAAAATAAGCTAGGGGCATTACCTCCAGAGACACTACTCCGGATGTACTTATTCCTGTTCAAGACAAATCATCGATGAGATTCAGAGTTCAGAGGGGTACAAAGGAAGTGTCAGGTACAAAATGAGCTCAACGTCTTACCATTATCAATCATGGTGCGACACCTCAGTTCCAAGGCCTCAGCCAAATCAGTTTGTTGCCCTTGCTTTAGATACAAATCATCTCGCAAGGAATGGACATCCTTATCTCTGCCATTCATATTGTCTGTTCGCCTAGTGGATGTCCTACAAGAACCCCCAGCATGCAAAGCCCCATTTGCAGGGGCGTGAAAGGACTGATCAATATCCATCCCTGCACTGCATACATCTTTGCTGGAGCTGCTGAATAAAAAGAAAATGAAAGGGGAAAACAGTGTCAACAGTCTTGGAACTGATGCAGAAAGCAACATATGTGAATCAAGTAATATTTCAAAAACCCCGCGCCACCAAAATCCTGCTTCATTCAGAATGAACTAGACATGTTCAATTTCTTCAGATACAGATAGATGACAAGTATGCTAACTCATAGTGAGCATCATGGTGATTGAAATAATGAGTTGCTGAAACCGGTTGTACTTACACATTAGCTTTTTTCAGATTTTGAATCTCCGCTTCTTTAGCTTTGATTTGAAGATCTTTCTTTGTTCTGTCCTTTCTCAGCTCGGTGCATTCATTTTTCTGCAAACAAGATCACAAAGAATCAACACCTGCTGATCATACGAGTTAGCTAAAAATGCACAGTTCAAAGGATTCACAGAAATACAGAATACCGCCAAAGATGATATCACAAGGTACGCACCAATTCATTCATTTGCTTCGAGACATGGTTCAGCTCCCTCTGCGGTGGTTAAGATCAAAAGCATTAGTAACGAAAGAAAATGCATCTACGCCAAGTGAACTGCCGCTCCGCTCCAAACACAGAGAAAGAAATCACCTTGAGCCTCTCGAGCTCCCTCGCTTCCCTGTCCCTCTTCGCGCCCACGCCGGTGCCCACGAAGCGGTGGTCGCCAGCGGAGCCCGACGCCGCGAGGCTGCCCTCCTCGGGCGCCTGGCGCTGGGAGAGCTCGCGCGGGGGGGAGAAGCCGCGGCCGGCCTGGGAGAGCTCGCGCGGAGGGGAGAAGCCGCGGACGGCGGCGGTCGGCGGCGGGAGCGGCGGCCGCTGGGAGAGCTCCCGCGGAGGGGAGACGCGGAGCGGGGGGGAAGGGTGCGAAGCGGCGGGGAGGTAGGAGGCCGAAGAGGCGGGGAGGTAGGAGACGGGGGTGGCGGCGAAGGGGCCATACGTGGGGATGGGAGCGGGCGCGGGTGTGGGGGTGGGAGTGGGGTTCGGGTTGCGGGAGGCGACGGCCTCGTCCGCCGTGCGGATCAGCTCGGCGATGAAGGTTGCGTCCTCCCACTCGTCGTCCAGGCCGCCGTCCATCCCCGCGCTCCCCCTCCCTACTCGTCTCACCAGCGCTGGAAGCGGAGGCGGCGGCGGCAGTGCGCGTAGTGCGAGTGGTGTTGTGGTGGGGTTTGCGGGTGGGGTGACGAAGCACAGGGTTTTGTGGGGCTTTTGGTGCCCTTTATTTATCTGGGTACTTCTGTTTTTCCAGTTTTAAAAAGACACGGGACAGTATAGATGCACGTGTTACAACTCCTCCGAGCCTAAAATACTGTACAGGGAGGAGTCATTTAAAAAAAATCCTAAATAGATATAAAAATTACCAATATTTAATGAATATTATACTCCATCCATTCTAGATTATAAATCATTTTGACTTTTCTACATCCATAAATTTTGCTACGTATCTAGATATATATTATAGATAATAAATATAAAAAGTTACGTATCTAAAAACGGTAATGTTGTGCTAAGGACATCCGTTCGTCCGGATGCTCCCATTGACGGGCCACGACACCAGCCCAATGGCCCAACTCTCCACCGGCGTATCCGCTCGCCCTAATCATATCTGCCCATGTCGTTCGTCCCTCTCCATTCACCGCACCACCGTCGCGTCCGCATCGCTGCGCGCGTGCTCCAACCGACCACACCACCGCGGCGCCCTCCGTCGCGCCCGACCAGCCGCCATCCTCTCTCTCCACCACGCTCCAATGGTGCCGCCCACCATCCTTCCTCTCCACCAGGCCATCCGCCCGCCGCGGCATTCTCCACAGCGCCAGCCGCCTTCTCCACCAGAGCTGCGCGCCACTTCGTGGCATCGAGCTCCGTGTCTACGAGCCTCCAATCGTCCAAGCAGCAAGTAGATGTTGCGCTGAAAACACATATTGCAAGTGTATGTTTCAAATATTTTGGATGTTTCAGAGATATATTGCAAGTGTTTCGTATGGGTGTTGCAAAAGTAGATCGGGATGTTGCATATGTTGCAATGGTTGTACACGTACGTAGCAAACGTATGTTTTCAATGTTTCATCTGTTTTTCAGACTATGTTGCAAGTGTGTTTATCTGGATGTCGCATATGTTTCACACATATGCTGCAAGTGTTTTTATCTGGATGTTACGTATGTTTGCAATGGTTTTCGAGTGTTTTCAGGTGTTTTTGCAAGTGTTTCAGACTCATGTTTCAAGTGTTTGATCTGTCTTCAGACGTATGTTGCAAGTGTTGCATCTAGATGTTTCAAAAGTAGATCGGATATTACACATGTTGCAATGCGACCCGCCTGCTGCAGTTGCTGGAAGGGGCACGAGGGGTCGGGCGGGGGCGCGAACGTCGCGTGGGGTCGGGTAGGGTGTAGACGCGCGCATCAGGTTTGGCAGTACGTGGATTCAGGCGTGGGCGTCCATTCGGATGTCCATGCACTAGCACTGCCGATCTAGAAAAACTAAAACGACTTATAATTTAGAACTGATGGGGTATGAGATTAGTAGTAAAATACCTTTTTCATAATAAAAATATTAAAAGACACAAATGATAATATTTTTTATAAATCTAGTTAAACTAGAAAAAGTTTAATTTAATTCCTCAAAAAGCTTGAGAAGGAGGAAGTACTCTCGTTGCAGCACACAAGAATCGCTTAGCTACACTAAAGAGGCACCATGATCTGCAAATGTGGAAGGAGGAGAATAAGGAAGGTGAAAAGCACATGAGATACAATAGTGTTTCGCATCAGCCAGCTTATAAACCATAGAAACGATCAAGCGAATAGGGTGAATATTCTTGGGACGAAGGGAGTAGGTTTCAATTAGATCCATAATAATTTCAAAAGTTCATTTTTTAATGATAATAGACAAGTACACCACTACATATCAGAGGTCCATAGATCATCTCATGCATTGTTACTTCTTATTGACAACCCGACACTTACTAGTATATAGCAGTTCTCTGACACAAAAAAAGAAGAAGAACTAAGGCTGTTGGAGACATGTTGATCGTTTATACATATGAATTGTGATTTAGAGAATAAGTGTATGAAATGTTTACTAAGTGACCGCAGTGTAGATTGATCACTGCTTCATCCAAACCTAGCGTGCAAAGATGTACTTTATCTTACATATACATTCCCAACGGCCAAAATCGCACGTTGTAATGGGATGGGTCAACCCACATGTCTATTGGAAAATTAGGTCTAAGGATTTTTGGCTTAATGGATGGATCAGTGTACGGTGTTCCTTAACTGTGTGTTTGATTGGGGGGGACTAGGTGCGATGGGGATGGAACGAACCCACTTATAACATGTTTGGTTCGGAGTCGAGGAGGGACAGGGACGTGGTTCATGCGTGGTTCGATTTATGAGCAACTACACCCATCTTTACACATGGGCACAAACCCTCCATGTCTTGTTTTTGACTTGACGGAATCCTCGAACAATACTAAACATCTTGTGAAATTTGTGTTACTCTCGTTGCAGCACACAAGAATCGCTTAGCTACACTAAAGAGGCACCATGATCTGCAAATGTGGAAGGAGGAGAATAAGGAAGGTGAAAAGCACATGAGATACAATAATGTTTTAGAAAAACTGAAAGAAACCATAGACAAAGTCTCGAAGGACTTCAAGATATATGAAATTTTAAATCCAAGTACATCTATACACCTCAAGCTTTGTCTAGATACACCTATATATATCCACTTAATTCACGTTTATTAGAGTGAATTGAGGTAATATTTAGTTTAAATTCTATTACAATCTACTTCAACAACACTAACTATATATATCCAAACAATGCCTTTATCATACAAATCTTTAGTTTCGAAGACCAAATTTCACTATTGCACCATTCATCATACAATCTGTGTCCCAGCTGTCCGTCTTGCTGCCACCGCTTCATCCCGGCCCTCCGTGTCGGGTACCACTTCCAGAAGCTTCTCTAGCCCACGCCTAACCTTATCCTCTTCGCGGCACAGAGCCATCGACCAGCATCCAATCCCTAATTGGCTAGAGGCTTTTACTTGTGTGTCATTATAAAAAGTTGGTAATTACCCACAAGCCATTAAAAAAGTTGAGTTTTCACAGGTGCCTCTGCTCTGAACTCTTTTGCCCTCCACGCGCACTTCTGTCAGGTTTGGCTCTAACGGTGTCAAACTGCGGGTGTGAAAAGTCAAAAATACTCTCAGGTCTAAATATGCAATTAATTTTTTTAGCATCTTAGGCCCCGTTCGCTTCGCTGAAAAAATAAGCCGAAACACTGTTCCGGCTGAAAAAACAAGCTGAAAAGTACGGATTATAAGACAAACGAACATGGCCTTAATGATCTCAAATGAAAAAACTCAAAATTAGAAAGTTGTAGATCTCGTCGAGATCTACAATATTTTTATAAAAATTACCTTCATTTGATTCCGTACAAAAAATGTGATTTTTCTAAAACATTAATAATATTAAATCATATTTTTTTTGTACAGAATTAAATGAAGATAAATTTTATTTGTAGATATTGTCGAGATCTACAATTTTCTAGTTTTGAGGTCATTAAGATGCTCAAAAAAATTAATTGCATATTCAGACCTGAGGATATTTTGGACTTTTCACAATCGCGATTTGACACTGTTAGAGCCAAATCTAACGGAAGTGGCGTAAAGGACAAAAGAGTTTACAACAAGTGGCACATATGAGAACTCATTTTTTTTAATGGCTTGTACATAATTACCAACTTTTATAATGACACACGGTAAAAGCCTCAATCGGCTAATCCCCATCGCCTCCTACAGCGCCGCCCGTCGTCCTCCTCCGTCGTCGACCTCTGATGCAGCCGCGCCATGCCCTGTAGCGTTGCAGCGGACCTCGCCTCGTCAGTGTCCAGCTGGGTGGCTCGCTCTCTTCTTCTCCTCCGTCCCATGGCTCAGCTAGCGGCAACAAATCGATAAGGTCCCTCTTCCTCTCCCCCGGCGGTGATCCGCTCCGCGACTGCCTCGGACGGCCTCCGCGTGTTGCCTCTTCCTCTCCCCGACGGCGACCTCACTTGGTGGCTCGCCCTCTTCCCCGCACTCCACCCCATCGTCCGCCTCCTCCCTCGTGGCCCTCGTCGATCCGGGTGAAGGAGATACGGAGCCTTCGCCACCTACGGCAGCAGCAGCGCCGCTCCTACCATCGTCGGCATCACCGCTCCGCGCACTTACTTCTAACGGCGGCCTGATGGATGAGTTGACGACCAGACCGGTAATCTCCTCCATTTGTGATGTACGCGTTCTTTTTTTTTGTTTTTTTACCAGATTTCCCCCTTGCTTCTCCTAGGGTATCTTTCCTCTTGTGAAGTTAAGATTTTGAGTCAAATTCAACATTGGTAAGGCTATCTCCAACAACAACACCCAAAATACAAGACCCATTCATCCTTTGGGTAGCGCTACAGGCAAAAAGGTTCGATAACTATTTGACATCTTCTCCAACAACAAGACCCAAAAGAGAATCCTTTTTGCAAATGGGTTTTCAGGAGAGAGGATGCCCATATTTAGATTGTGTCTCCTAGACAACCCAAAATAGGTCTCCCGTATAGATACTCTGTTAGAGGCTGATTTTGGGTTTGGGTGGCCATATCCTTGAGACAGTCTAAGACGGTCATGCGCAGCGCCTACTGCTGCAGTCCGCGTCTACTGCCTCTTGCGGCGCCTGCTCCCGGTGCCCGCGTCTGCTCCCGGTGCCCTCACCCCACATGATGAAGTCTTGCAACTATATGCCATTTCAATTTATCCTCAGTACTTCATATGGCAGATATTGAGAATATTTCGCCACCCATCAACACTATCTTTAGACTGACTCCAACAACATGACCCAAATCGAATACCCATTTCACCGTTTAGGTAACGCACAGTAATGAAAGCTACGCACTCATTCCTTGACCCTCCAACGGATGACCGAGCAGGAAGCCCCAAATCCCGCTGCCCTTCTCTCTCTGCTCTGCTCTTCTTTTTTCCCCCTCTACCTTCGCTTCCCGTCCCCTTTCGGCTCCTCCCGAGGACCGTCCCGCCAATTGCCCGGCCGATTCATGGCTGGAACACCGAACACCACTGCCGCCAGAGCCTCCGCCTCGCCTGCCCCGCCCTCTTCCCTCTCTTTCTTTCTCTCCTTCCTCTCTTTTCTCTCTGTCTTGCTCGACTCGTGGTGGCGCAGAGGCGCTGGTGGGCCCAGCGTGGCGCCCGGCGGCGTGTGACCTTGCCGGGCTGGCAGCTGGTGGGAGGTGGGCAGCATGAGGGCGCGGCGTGGCATGCAGGGAGGGCTGCCTCGCCATTGCTGCGCAAGACCTGCTGGCAGGCGAGGGCTGCCCTTGCTGTGTTGCCCCACGCCCCGCCCTGTCCGGGCCCCCCCCGCCTCTCTCTCTCTCTCTCTCATTTTGCATCGTCGAGAACGAAGACGCTTTTTTGCCTTGCGAGTCGGATGATACACAAAATGGCTGTCGTGTTTGCCTTCTCCATTGGAGCGTGATTTCGGAACCAAAACACTGTGCCGTAGGCATTTTGCGTTTGGGTCTGCGTTTACCTACGCCGTTGGAGACAGTCTTATATGTTCTTGGTTTTATCTAACTGAATGGAAAATTGGAAACCGACGGAACAACCTGAAAACAATTGTGCGAAAGTTGATTGTATGCTGCTTTCTACTCCAAATTAACTGCAGTTTTGGGTTACCTGATTGTTAGACTACTACATTGCTTACCTGATGATGGGCAAGACAATGGTGTATCAGTCGTGCGGTCGCTACTGGCCAGTTGCCCATCGGACAACGGGACAAGACCGTCGCCGTGAAGGTGACGTCCATGCTGCACATCGCGTCCACGCAGCTAGCTACACGTGCAGCAACACCTGGCGTACGTACAAAAAGTGGCATCTTATACTTCATCAAAGTGGTTATGTTATCCTAGATGTGATTACCGCTAGATCTCTTTTGTCCATGATCAGATGCATCCAGTCGTATTATAAGTTAATGCACTGTGTTCCATTTGAAATCCCCGGCCGCGAAGGGAATTTTGTGTATGCCAAGGGAATTTTATGGGATGCCTTCTTTTTTCTTTAATTGAAAAGACACATCTGATCACATGTTTATATAATCACATTTACCATTACAGCATGATGACATATTTGATATGTTTTTTATCCGTAGCAACGCTAGGACTGGCTAGTAGAATTAATCTAAAAAAGCAATTAGTTTTGAACCGTCTCAATCATAGTAACAAGTTTGTATAATTTCCTCTTAATCTCTAGTTCCGCGCAAACACTACATTTAGTCATTATCATAGCATTATAATCGATCTTGGTAGCTGTAATTATATCGTTTTAATTGAACGAAGTTTGATGTAAACCTATTACCTATGTTCCTATTGATTATGCTCTTAATTTCGCACCAATTATTGTTAGTATATACGATTACCCTAATTCCCAAGATCATGTACACAATAGTAGTAGCTCAAAGCCTCAAACAACCTAGGATAAATAAATTATTCCTATGATACCTTGGGAAAAACACACACCCGAGTATGGCTGGCTGAATGTGAGCATTGTACGTGCTGAATGGTCTCGAATCAAAATTCCACAAACACGAAGACACCAAGCAAAGAATTCTACCCGCGTGCGTCGTGTTGTCGTTCTGGCGGCGACGGCGAGGCAGAACAGGCAAACCCCACGAGCCAAACTGCCAAACCCAGCCAAGAAGGCAAGAACACACAACCCACTGCTTCTTCCTTTTCTCCTCTCTGTCTCTCTCTGCTGTCTGCTCTCGCCAGAACCAGACCAAACCTGACCAACCTAGCACCCACTGGACCGGACCGTGCCGAAATTCACCGTGCCCCGCTTGGTCCAGCGCCGGCTCTGCCTGCAGGCTCCCTCCCGCGATCCGCTCCTCTTGAGCTCGACGGGACGGAATCCCGGGGACAGGGGAGAAGGGGAGGGAGAACAGCAGCCCGCCGCGGAGGGCCAAGAACCCGACCGGAGGGAGGCAGGGAGGAGTTGAGCGAGCGGCGGAGAGATGGGGCAGGCCCTGCGCAGGCTCTTCGATTCCTTCTTCTCCACCAGGGAGATGAGGGTACGTAATGATACCATCTTGCCCCTCTCCCTCCTCTACCTGCGGTTCCTTCCTTCGATTCGATTCGATTGCTTGCTCCACCCGTCTCTTTGCTTAAGTAGGCTGCTCGTTCTGGCAACTCCTAGGCTCGTGTTCTAGTTTCTCTTTGGGTTGAAAGAAGGGCATGGTTTAGGCCCGCCTGCTCCTCGAGTGGCTCGGCTCGTCTGGAAATGTGAGGAACGTTGCTTCCGCCCGGTACTGCGCGAGGATTCGGGCGTGTGGGTTGGCGTGGCTTACTTGCTGATGCGATGTTCCGTTGCTAGAGGTAGAGCTTCGATCTTGGTTCTGTACTGGGAGTGGCATGTGAGTACTGAGTATGTGACCAGGGATCCATTGTCATGTGAGTACTGAGTATGTGACCAGGGATCCATTGTTACGGTTTATCTTCATTCCAGGGCTTTTAAGTTAAGTAGGATTCTACTGTTAATTCCAGGGCTCTTTAAGTTCAGTTATTAACTTGTGCCATGCAGAAGCCTATTGAATTCCCAATTCAGTGCTTGGTCACTCTATAGTCCTTCTCTCTCGCTTTTAAATAAAACTATATCACCCTTGCGGTGAATTGCGAATTTTTAGATCAAGTGGATGGAGGTAGCAGTCAAGGAATTGGCTGTAGATGGGTCTACTGGGTACTGCTTTCTAACCAGCTGATTTTGAGCTGAAAAATGAGTTACCAATTAGCATTCTAGTGATTCTAGCTAAAAATATAGAGGTTCGATATCCTCCTTAAGCCAATTAACACTAACCACTCCGCCAACTTTACTTTGTCTTTTTTACAAGAGAAACATCTCTGCTTATAGAAAATACTCTTCCTTTATTCATCCTATCATCCTCCATCAGTTCCAATTTGTCTTTTTTTATCAATGCTTATCTAAGTCTGTCACTACTCACTAATCATGTCACTACCCTCTTCAAGGTTGTGATGCTTGGTCTCGATGCAGCTGGTAAAACAACAATACTGTACAGGCTGCACATGGGAGAGGTTCTTTCAACAGTCCCTACAGTCGGTTGGTGGCCCATATCGTTATTTATTTACTTACCATTTATCTCCAATGCTGAATGATTGCGGCATGCGTGCAGTTTTATTCTATAAACTGACACATTTATTCGCTTATTATGTGTCTTACCAAATAAAATATCGAACCAAAAAGCTTTTTCTTTTTTTTTGCTGAAATACTTGGTGTGATTTGTCTGCTGAGAGTGCATGCTTCAAAGGCATAATCTGATCTTAATTGGTATCGATTCAGAAACATTTGTGTATATTGCATCTTATGGTTTGAAAAATGACTTTCCTCAAAGCATTCTTCTTCCAGTCTTGATTTAGAAATTCATGATGATATAAATGTGGAAGATGAATAGTTGAAAGCTGGAAAATGTAATGATGATATAATTTGAATGATTCGGATGAGAAAACATTTTTAGTCAGGCTTGTAATATGATTTTTTTCCCACAATTTGAATTTTAGTTTCCTTGTTATTGCAGTTGCTGTTGTAAACGATTTCTTCTAGATCATGTTACTTGACACAACTTTACATGATCAAATGGAGCTATATAGAAACTTCATGCCTAACATAATGCTCTGGAGTCTAGATTGACTTTGGTGCTATCCCCATTTCGAGAAAATTGCATATTTAGGACTCCAATTGTCGCGCTTAGCAGTTTTGGGATTCCAAACGTCGACTTCGTAAAAATAGGACTCCAAATGTTGGACACTTGATTTTATGGCCATTGTACGTATTTTCTCTATTTTTTAATCTATATACATGTATTAGCCTCCAAAAAAGACTGTGCAACCTACGTCGTGCGAAGGCTCCGACGTTTCGAGTCGCCCTAACCGCGCGACCCCAACCTCTCGTCTAGCCGCCGCGAGATCTCAGCCGCCGCCCACCCCGATCCCTAGCCTGCGGTGCCGGCAGCCATGGACAGCCACCCGCCCGACGCCATGGCGGGCCGTTCCCAGGGCCAGGCGCGAGGAAGCCATGGCCTGGCCTTGCTGGCCGCGCCTGATGGCCCCATGGATGCAGGCCGTAATGTGTAAATGAAACTGGGGCCAAATGAAACAGGCAAACAGCGTAGCATCTGTACGTAACGAGCAAATGGCCACAGGGGTAAAAAAGTCCGTCCAGGTCACAAATACATGGAGGAATAATAGAAAAAGTAGAAAATACACACAATGGCCATAAAATTAAGTGTCCAATGTTTGGAGTCCTATTTTTACGAAGTCGATGTTTGGAGTCCCAAAACTGCGAAGCGCGACGATTGGAGTCCCAAATATGCAATTTTCTCCCCCGTTTCTCCATCCAATGGCTACCTCTGGTAACATAATTTCCATCCTTCCTGCAGGTTTTAATGTAGAGAAGGTTCAGTATAAGAATGTGGTATTCACTGTGTGGGATGTGGGTGGGCAAGAAAAACTCAGGTCGCTGTGGAAGATGTACCTGAGTAATTCTGATGCACTGGTAATAACTATTACTTGCAAGTCTATAGACACATGAGTGGCTTCCCATTATGTCTCTTTGGTCCTCTTGTCTTTCTCAACTCTTGATATGTTGTTAACTTTGTGCATTGTTCTTCTTCGATTGTAGTTATCCACATCACAGCCTATATGTAGTCCCTCAAGGCTAAGCACATTTCAAACTTTTTTTTTTGCATGGGTAGCTTAGTAAATTGGCGTGCAGAATAGTAAGTGAAGGGCATTTAATCTTCTTGCTAAGTTTGTGTTTCAGCTTTCGGTTTGTTGCAGATCTATGTCGTTGATTCTTTGGACAGAGAAAGGATTAGAGATGCGAGGCAAGAATTCCAGGTAAAATAGTCATACTACCTCCATCAGTATAAGACTTCCTGGCCCCTTAGATCATGTCTATTGATGATACGATGCCATGCATCCTTTTTCTCCTTCCAGACCATTATCAAGGACCCTTTGATGGCAAACAGCATAATCTTGGTATTCGCAAACAAACAGGATCTGGTAAGTTAAACTGAGAATTTGGAGTGCTAAGGGCTACCTGTGTAATATTTTATGACCTTATTCACATGCGGCTGTTTATTTATTTATGTTTTGAAGTCCCCTTCTTATAATGAGTAGTTATCACATGTTCTTTTTTTTTATTATTTCAGTTTGTATTGTGTGTCACATTAAATTATTTTGCAAGGTTATGAGGTATCCATTGTCTTCTTTATTGATTACAGATGAGCTTTCTGTAGGATAAATTTACCTTACAGAAACAAATTTTACTCTGTCCATATTAGCAAGATGCCAAGATATCAGAGCATTTACTTTAAACAAGGACAAATGTAAAGACCTTCCTGTCTAGGAACTCTTGACTCTTGGGAACTATTGGTGCTCTCATGGAACTTTAGAGTACTAAAAACGTTTATTTGTTCAGTATGGCTAATTGAAAAACAGTAAGTTTAGAACTGCCATGTTGTTAATATCTTCAGACTTATGGAAGTCTCAAATGAGCAGTGATCGAGCGGTACTCTGAGACTGATTGATATCTTTCTCTTGCCCACACAGAGAGGTGCGATGAGCACGGATGAGGTTAGTGAAGGACTGGGGCTGCATGATCTTAGGAACAGAATATGGCACATACAGGGGACCTGCGCACTCCGTGGTGAGGGCCTATACGACGGGCTCGACTGGCTTGCGTCCACTCTGAAGCAGTTGCAAGAGTCGGGTCATGCAACTTCAGTTGCTGGCCCTTCCATCTAATCCAGTGGAAGGTTCTGTATCATTCTGAGCACACAATTGAACCCCCTTTTCTCTTTACATTAGTATATGGGATGAACATGAACCTCGATCAGTCAGGGACCATTTTCCTTTGTTTGCACCCGGCATAACTTTTTTCAGTTCTCCTCTAAGAATGTACGATGTGGGCCTCAACCCATTCTAAAATGCATGTTCTGTTTGTGCAGTGAGCTCAGTGCCTCAACCAACTGACGGCTCCTGCCGTGATCCGCTGTAAGCCCACAAGAACATGCTCCAGCGCAAGCATTCCTTGGTGTGGCTGCCCGCTGATGGAGTTCCTTTGTGTTGGTATCACATGAGCCAGTTCATCCGGCAGGAACTCGCATACCTTTCTCCAGAGATTGTTTGTAAATTGTTGAACGAATGTAGATCTTGTGTGTATACTTGAGAGCTGGTGCACGTGGTTGTTTTGTTGTTTGTTTGACTGCTTTACAATAAAAGAGATCGTCTGTGATTCTGGTGATTAGAAGCTTTGTCAACTGCTCACAACTTAAGAATATATTGCAATTGTTTTCTCCTGCGCTGCTGGAAATTCCGGAAATTCCTCGTATGTCGTTGAGGTCTCAGTGAAACGTGGGCCCAGCGGTTGCATATAATGGATCGACGTGTCACGTGTGAGTGAAATTTCAGTGGTATAGAAAAAAAAAATCTCCCAGATAGAAGGGTAAATCCATCCCATTTTCCAGATGATGGATACAACATTTTTCCTGGTTTGGCTTGTTATGAGTGTGTCCAATTCTAGGTTCCTTTTGGCATGGATAGAAAAAATCTCCCAGAGTAGAAGGATAAATACATCCCATTTTGCAGATGATGGATACAACATTTTTCCTGGATTGGTTGTTATCAGTGTGTTCCTTTTGGCATGGAGAGAGAGAGAAAAGGCAGCAAAAAAAAGAGAGAGAGAGAGAGAAAGAAGGAAAAAGGAAACGACGCCTGAGAGATTCGAACTCTCGCGGGGAAACCCCATGTACTTAGCAGGCACACGCCTTAACCACTCGGCCAAAGCGTCGTCGTTGTAAAGAAAGGAACACAAAAGTTATTTATTGTATTTATTTTCTTCCCCTATCAAACCGCTACACTTTTCTTTCATCTATTATTTATCGTATTTACACGTACACGTTCATTCATTCAGACAACGAAATCGCGTGCACCCAGCCCGGCGCCCAGGCCAAGTAAACCGTTGGCAGTTGGCTGCTACAGAAAAAACATATGTGCATTGAGGACCACGAGCAGATCCCGTGCCCATCTGTATCTACCCTATTTTTCCCCCTGGCTTTTCGTTGGTATACAACCGTAGCCGTAGCACAGGTATCAACACTTTGCTAATAAGCCGCCACGACTGAAAGTACCGTTGACTGATTTGATGTGAAAGAAAAATACGGTTCGTAGGCTGAAAAAGTACGCCTATCTGGCAGGGACAACCAGACAAGGCAAAAGGCATCAACATGATCACATGTCAGACTGACAGGTTTTGCCGGGGCTTTCCCCACGTGTTAATCAGGTCTGGAGACAGTCTAGTCTAGGCTACAACGTATCCAAAATATTTGTACATACAGCCAATGCACAGGACGAACACGGAATGGGACTTAAACCATGGCGAGGAGCAGATCAGCAGAAGCTGCCCCCGGATGAGCACGGTGCACCACCAGGAACGGGAGGATGCGATGCTTTTCATTGCCCTTGCTCCCTCCAGATGCGGCCGGTGACCCGCAGCTTGAGCTCTTGCCTGCCGCCGCCCGAGAAGAAGAGCGCCATGTTCCTGTGGATGATGAGCCCGTCGAAGCTGTCCCGCACCTTCCGGTGGCTGTCCCTGATGCTCCACGGCGTGCCCTGCCACGTCAGCTTCCGCGCGCCCCCGCCCACCTCCAGGCTGTACCCGAACCCCTGCGCCTCGCTCTCCTCGCCCATGAACCGCAGGAACGCCATGTACACCGGCGCCATCCCCAGCAGGAACGCCTCGAAGTGCAGGCAGAAGTGCTGCCCAAAACACTTGAAAACCTGTATGTATCAAACACAATGGGGGTGAATGGAATGGTTATGATACAGCCATCACAGGTAAGAAAAAGGATGGATGGGTTCAAAACAAATGACACAGATCTGATCACATTAAAGATACGAGGCATCTCAGAAGTAGGTCTAGTCAGGAAAATACTATGCAAGTCACTACTCAATGCATATACTGACCATACAGATAATCCAGATTAAATTACCAGGAATGTTTCCCATGTATCGGTAGTAAACGCTTGAGTACTTAAACATGAACAGAAGTGTCATTTTACTTACAGTGAGCATCCATGTAGCATTTTCCACTTCGTAAGGGTTGGGCTTCACATATCGGTGGTTAAATGTGCAGCCCTCATGCAAGTCCACCTTATGGTCATTGATGAGATGAGACACCAGAAACGGAACATCACCTGTGATCAGACACTCTGAACCTGCGTACGGGCAGTTGTATGGCCTGAACCTGCAGAACTCCTCGTGCTTGAGTTTGTTCTTGTATGGGTGAATCTCAGTGCATCCCATACTCTGGTATTTGCATGGAAGCTGAAGTTGTTCTGCCACCTTCTCAAGCGCTAAGCACCTGATGTTTCCCAGTTCCTGGCAACACGTTGGGCAATGGTTCTCTACCCTGTGCTTGCAACTAGAGCAGATTGTGTGGCCATTTGGGCACTGCAGAAAAAACAAGGAACCGTAAATTATTAGCATTCTCATTTCCTGAATTCATTTCTGTAACTCTAACCATTGCAACTGAAGCTGTTGTTTAAATTACATGATATAAATCCTGAAGTGATACGAATACCATCACTATTCAAGTAACACAATTAGCTTGCAACTCATTTAATTATTTTAATGAAAAAATGTGTACAAACATTACCTAAACTTAGGAGTTGTGGTTATAATAAAGTTAATCTTTTCTTTGGAACAATAAAGATATTTTGTTGACAAAAAATGCAGAACAAGGATACAATAAACATAACCATGGACAATACACAATAGTATGTGTGTCTAGAGAGAGGAGAGATAGCAGACTAGAAAAAACTTGAAAGTGTCCCAATGCAATTGCAAGCTATAAAAGCTTTAAACTTGCTTGAAAGTGTTCCAATGCAATTGCAAGCTATAAAAACTTTAAACTTGCTGATGGTCATGACCATGCCAAATTCTAAGAAAGCGAAGATATAAACTGATAAACATGGGCTCCAACACTATGCATGCACTGATATAAACATACGGAGGAAACAAATGATAGATCCCTTCATTGCTGCTCTTTCATTAACATCAGGAAGTTCTAGATTATTTTGATGTGAGGAGAGTCCATAATTGTAATGGACAACATGACAGATGCAATGCGAAGATGAAACAGACTTGATCCATGTGGATCCCAGAGAACTTATCGTCGATTACAATGTGACAATAGAAAAAATGTTACACTAGGACTTTAACAGAACAAAAGTTTGAACAACTTGAGATCAATGGGCAAACCTAGATACCTTAAGGTGGTGCAAATGCAGCATTAGTACCATAGAACCCAGTCAACCCACCTTCTATACTAACTCAATCCACATATCTAATAGGCATTGTAAGCTAACATCATTTTCTTAGCATACAGACTCAAACATGCAAAGATGCATACTGCAATTACCAAAGTATACCTTTTATACTAACTCAATCTACATATCTAATAGGCAATGTAAGCTAACAGCATTTTCTTTGCATACAAACTCAAACAAGCAAAGATGCATACCGCAATTATCAAAGCACCTCCTTTTGCCAACAAAATAAAAAGAGAAGATATGTCTAAGCACACAAACCTGGAGTATAGGTGGGCGCATTGAGTTGGTACACACTGGACATTCGAGCAAATCATTCAAGCCAGACAGTGATGATAATGCAACATTGGCTAGCGATGTAGACCACGGTTTACTTGCAGAGTCTACGTCAAGCCTGATACCCCCAAGTGCCTCAGAAAGCCCATCGTCATCTCCACAGTCCGACTCAGGGACTACAGTCACAATGCTGCTTCCTGGTGCCATTGTAAGAAGCTCCTTTCAGGTTCGGAAGTAGCACAAAACATCAGCACCCCACCACTCCATTGCTTTCCTGCTAACCACATCACACCAAATTTCGGCATCAAAAGAAACATGGCACCTAAGCACAACAGAATTAACATCCTGCGCAAGTTGAGCTGATGTTCAGTTTTTTTTTTTTTTTTAATAATAAGTAAAGGCAGGAGCTCTACCGCTCAATTACGTAGGGAAAAGTGATGTTCAGTTTATCAGGGTCACATAAAAAATGGATAATTCCTCAGAACTATAAATGAATTGAGCAACTGAAGCGTCTGAATCCAACTTGACGCGAGTTACTGGTGAGCAAACTACATTCAGATCTCAGAACTGAAGGAGCACCACATACCAGTGACTCTCATCCATGACCATGTACCTTGGCAGTTTCCTAACTCGAATTTGCCACTACGGGTAACCCGACCTACTTCGCCCGATGTATTACATTTAATCAAGGACATGTACAGGAGGGGCGGACCCAACCCAATAATTTTTTGCCAAGAAATCCGAAGTCTGTAGGCGTAAACATGTATACTGCACTTGAAATTGGGTCAGATTTCAGATCCAAATACAAAGAGCTTGGGTTTGGGTGCTCAGTTTCGCACAGCAAGAGCGGAAGAGAAAGGGGTGGGCGTACCTGGTGAGCGCTCGTCGCCGGCGAAGGTCGCGAAGAGGGAAACCTGGGCAGTGGGCACCAGGGCGTAGGGCGGCGGCGGCCGAGCAGTCGTCGGCACAGAGCGCACGCGAGGGGGACGGGAGAACCACCGAGAGAGAGAATGCCGGGGGATAAAGGTTGTTCGGCCGTACGGGACACCTCAGGTCCTCAGTAGTCACTACTGTAGTAGTCAGTACCAGTGTATCCGGTGCTCCCACCCCTTCGTATGCTCTCACGTTCCCATTTGAGATTTGAAAAGGAAAAAGCACCCAAATATACTCGATTTTCTTTTTTTAAAATACGAATAGATACACATTGTAAGGTTCTATATTATGTAAAATTTAACGGAAATGCTAGGGTGATGGCGTCCGTTGCCGTGGGTCGCGACGGTAGGAACGACCCAACTATCCTGATGCCTGCTCCAATCGACGTATTGATAAAAGAAGTCCGGTTGTCTTCTCCACTCACGGGTCTCCAGAAATGTCATTCCTCAAACCCCACTCTTTGCCAAATTCCAATTCCACGCTCCACCGTGACTGCGCTCTCGACCGCGGCTGGCCATCCTCCATCTCCACCTCACCTGAGCGCCGCTGGCCGCCTTCCTCCCTCTCCACCGCAGTTCACCAACAATCGCGCGGCTTCAATTCGTCGCGCCCACCCGCCCGCTTCCATCCCTCTCCGACGGCACCTCGGGCCAGGAGCGGCGACTAATCGGCCTCCGCCTCTCTTCCTCTCCACAGGCCTCGGTCCGCATCCATCCTTCCTGACGACGGCATCTAGCGATGTGGACAAGATCGAGCAGGGTCAGCGCATATGTTGCAAATGTATGTTTTCAAGTGTTTCAGACGTTATTAGAGGTTGTTGCAGCGTCACTTCTATGGCCCACGAGATACCCAGCCCACACTGCATGCAAGGAAATAAAGAAAAAACTGACATCAGCATACGTGCAATACTTTTTGAAGTAAAAAGTTCATAACTGGTAAACCCAAGTATCCAAATTGAAATCCGATTGCATCATCGTATTCCTTGCAATAAACTCTTCAAAACAAGACCCCACATGAATATATTTAATAAAAAATTTATGTACGAAGGAAAAAAAACAAACGTGAAAAAAAAAAATAAAATAGAACATCAAAAAATACATCATAGGACATCACAAAAAATATCATAGAACATCACATGTATACTACGTGAGCATGACAGAATAATCATAAAAATCATTGTATACTACGTGAACATGGGTAGTACGTGAACATCACAAAATGCATCATAAAACATCACAAAATGCATCATAGAATACCACATGTATACCACGTGAACATAAAAAACATCATAGAACATCACATGTATAATACGTGAACATAAAAAAATAGAACATCACATGTATACCACATGAACATAAAAAATCATAACTGCTAAACCAAGTATTCAAATTAAAATCCGATTACACCATCGTATTCCTTACAATAAACTCTTCAAAAGAAGACCCCACATGGATACATTTAATTAAATTTTATGTAAAAAAAAATAAAAAAGCAAACATGAAAATAAAAAATAAAATAGTATCATTTGAACATCACAAGAAACATCATAGAACATCGCATGTATACTACGTAAACATGACAGAGTACCTCATAGAACATTATTGTATACTACGTGAACATCACATGTATACTACGCGAACATCACAACATGTATCATAGAACAACACAAAATGTATCTAGAACATCACATGTATACCACGTAAACATTAGAAAAAACATCATAGAACATCGTTTGTATAACACGTGAACATAAAAAATAGAACATCACATGTATACTACATGAACATCACAAATAACATCATAGAACATGACATGATATACCATGTGAACATCATAAAAACATCATAGAACATCACATCTATACTATAGAACATAGCATCTCATGAAAATATAGAAAATGAAAATTAAACATGAAAAAATAATTAAGTAAGGCAAAATAGAAAAGTAGAAAATAAAAAATCTATAGAAAACATAAAGCTAAAAGAGGAAAGGAAAAAGAAAGAAATACAAAAAAAAGAATAAAACATAAAAATAAATAAAATAAAATAAACATAATAATTAATTATAGCAAAAACAAAAATAAATATATAAAAATATAAAAGAATGAAAAGAATAATAAAAAATCACATTAAACGAAAAAATAAGAAAAAATAAAAAAAAAATAGAAGAAAAGAAATAAAAAATAATAATAAAACGAAAGAACAGAAAAGAAATAAAAGTAAAAATAAAAAATGAAAAACAAAGAGGATAATAAAAATCACATAAAACAAAAAATAAATATAAATAAAAAATAAAGCACGAAAAGGGAAAAGAAAAATAGAAAAGAAAAAAAAACAAAAAAAAACAAATGACTAGCGCCTACCATAGTTTTAAATGGCGGGCTAAGGTGTTTAGCGGTATACCTTTAAATCAGCTAATAGCAGAGCTAAATCGGGCTATAACGGAATATAGCAGCTAAATTATACATAAACATGAATAGCGACACCCCACCTTAAAAGACTATAGCGGGCTATAGCGGCAGATTTAAAACACTTGCCCAGGCGCGCCTTCACTTCCGTACGAGTTCCCGCGCGCCGCGGATTCCCGCGCTCGTTACCCAGACGCGCCTTCGCTTCGTACGAGTTCCCGCGTGTCGGACCCGATGATTCCCGGTGTCCGTGAGCCATGCGAGTGTTGCAGGTGGGCCTGCCGCGGTGCGCGCGGTCTGCATGCCCCGCGAAAATTATTGCGCGCTGCTGGCCGAGTGGGCGGGAAAGCTACCGGATGGTTGTCCGATGGGCGGACGCTAGCACCCCGGAAAGAAACGATGAAAATAAAAAAACAAATAATTTCCGTATTTCAAATGGGCCCGATTGTTCTTTTGCACGGGCCAATCGACGGCCACCTCACATGCACCCGCTACTCCAGGCTTGCACTGGCCTGGACCGCCAGTTCTTCACTTCTTCATGCAGAATTTGCTCAAAAAAAAAAAAAGTTCTTCATGCAGAAAGCTCCAGGAAGACCAGGATGAAGATGCATAGCAGAGGAGATGGCTCAGATGGAGAATACTATGGTCCCCTCTAAAAAAAAGATGGAGAATACTATGGTGGAGACAAAAAAAAAAAAATGCTAGGATTTTATAAGGATAGTGTTGGCACTAGGGTTTCCAATCTGGCAAATCTCCCTAGAGAAATCACATTGCTCCATGGGTATCTTTTGATAGCGGCAATATTCAACTTAGCTATACAGCCATGAAGTGAGAAATGAAGATCTGGTCGTTTTTGTATCCATTCTACCTTCCTATGTAGAACCCCCCAAAAAAACAGCCATGGAGCATTGACCAAATAGCAGTTTATGCCTTTTTTTTCTGGTAAACTTTCTTATTGGCATGTAACTCTCGAAAGATCCTAGCTATACAGAAGGAAGGATGTCGAGGGCCACTTCCTTCAGTGAAGGCATTTCCTCTTGTTGATGCAGGCAGACGTAGCTTCCAGACGATGCTTTTCTCAGGACCTTCCAAGGTTCAGGGTAACACCTGCCAGATAACAGTGGTTTGGCAAAATAAGATGTCTAGGCTTGGTTTGCGCAAAGTTATGTAATGTAGTCCTTGTGCCGTCACAAATCGTTCTACAAGGTCAGGTTTTGTTTCAGTCTGAACTACAGTGAGCAACATAATTTAGGGCCCTCTGCGAAGCGTGACAGGTGAGGCCTTCACAAGTTTTGAATGCCACAATAATTAACATTTCATTGTCAACGACTTTGACTAATCCTGTAATGATATCTACAAAATTCTGGGTTCAAACGCTTTGTACATATGATGAAGCGTCTCTAACTATCTATGAATCTATGCTAACCATGCTTATGCAAATGCATGTTATGCTAGATTTGGGGAGAACCAATTGTAACAAGCATAGGATCAGAATGCAAACCTGAAAAGCGTTCCCCCTTTAACTCCCTTGAAATTGTTAATATAGTAAACTGTATCCAGCTTCGGGAGAAATGTTTTGGAAAGCTCTGCAAATTTTGGGTAGAAGAAAGATGGATAGTCTTCGCTAGTCAAGGAATTAGAGTTCAGTTCACAAGCATGCATTTTTAGGCAACCTCAAGTTCAAGGATGGTGAATCGGTGGAGAACTTCTCCTCCGAAGGATACTGATCTAGCAGACGCTCATCAACTCCTTCCTTGTAAAGCCACGCGTCACCATATTACTGTTAGACATAATCTGCTGCTCCCAAGAAGAGGGTCACTCAGTGTCTCTGAGTACCTCCCTCGCACTCTGCGGTGAAGTACATCCA